CGCAAGCTTGGAGAATCCTTCCACAAACCTATAATAATAGCCGGTTACCCCCAAGAAACTCTGTACTTCTGTTACGTTATTCGGTGGTTCCCATTTCATCACGGCCTCAATCTTTGCGGGATCAACTGCTACTCCTTGTTCGGACACAACATGGCCAAGGAACTTCACTTCCTTCATCCAAAATTTACATTTGTTCATCTTCGCATATAACTTATGTTCTCTCAATGTTTATAGCACAATAGAGAGATAACGAGCATGTTCCTCCTGAGTCTGTGAGTAAATCAATGTGTCATCAATAAACACAATGACAAATTGATCGAGGTAAGACCGAAAAACTCTGTGCATCAAATCCATGAAGGCTGCGGGGGCATTAGTCAATTCGAACAGCATCATCGTATACTCGAAATGACCATATCGGGTACAGAAAGCAGTCTTAGGAATATCCTACTCCTTCATCCGTAGCTGATGATATCCCGTGCGAAGATCAATCTTGGAGTAATACTTCGAACCCTTCAACTGGTCAAATAAGTCATCAATTCTCGGCAATGGATACTTATTCTTCACGGTAACCTGATTCAACCTTCGATAATCCGTGCACAAGCGTAGAGTCTCATCCGTTTTCTTCACAAAGAGGACCGGGGCTCCCCAAGGTGAAGTGCTTAGACGGATAAACACAATTGCCAACAAGTGATCCAACTACTTTCTTAGCTCCTTCAACTTCAAAGGTGTCATCCGATAGGGAGCAATAGATATGAGTTCGGTTCCCAGATAGAGATCGATCTTGAACTCAATTTTCCTATGTGGCGGTAATTCGGGTAATTCCTCGAGAAAAACATCCAAAAACTCTGATACAATTAACACCATATCCGTATAGATTTTATCCCTGTCATCTCCCATCAAGCTAGCTAGAAAACTCAAATGACTTCTCGATTTCGCTTTTAAGAATCTACTACCTGTAGTAGGAAAAGGATGGGAAGACTCTCAGTTATTCACAAAATAGAAAACGACTCCTCTCGACAATTGAAATATAATCCGCTTGCGAAAACAATCCATTACTGCCCGAAAAGCGGACAACAAGTTCATCTCGAAAATCACATCATACCCCTTTATCTCTAAAGGAATCAAATTCACAATCAATTCGTGCTCCTCAATACGAAGCACGCAACCCTTACAAACTCGGCTAGTATCTAATCGTTCTTCCGTGGGTAAACTAATATTCATAACATGCTCTAGCTTCACGAAACTCAATCCCAAATCAAGTGCATATGTCGTGCGTACAAATGAGTGTGTTGCACTGGGGTCAAATAATATTCGGACCCAAGAATTATAAATAAGAACGATACCTTCCACAACGGCATTGGTAATGTCCTCCTCCAGCTGAGTCAAAGCAAATACTCGCCCTTGGTTGGCGCTGCCGGGGGCTTGAGCTTGTATCGGTCGTTGCGGTACAGGCCTCGGTGGTGGTGGTTGGGCTGCTGGTACCTGTCTGGCGGTCTGGATAGGCCCCTAGGTCGAAAGATTGGGCAATGTATCCGAATATGTCCCATACCTTCGCATGCAAAATAGGATCGTGGGGTAATACCGGCTCTGGTCTGAGTGTCTCCTTCTCCTCTGGCTGTCAAAATTCATTGTCCACCTGTCTGATCTGGGCGACGGTATGGTGTCGGTCTATGTGCCCCACTAGTGCTAGCACCTGTCCAGATAGGACCTCCTCTCAAGAAGCCTTGTCGTCGCTGGCTATCCTCTATGTCTCTCTCTACCAGTGCAGCTCTGTCCACCAAGTCCCCAAAATCATGGATCCTGAGAGCCACCAACTTCTCCCTAATGATCGACCTTAGACCTTGCTCGAAGCGCTTGGCCTTGTCGGCCTCAGTAGATTTAAATCCCGTAGCGTAATGGGAGAGCTCGTCGAACCGCCGCTCATACTCAGCCACAGTCATGCTACTCTGTCGTAGTGCAAGAAAATCCTCCTTCATTCAGTCTCTGACTGATTTAGGAAAGTACTTATCTTGAAAAAGTTGATTGAACTCTTCCCAAGTGAGTGTGTCGATTTCCCTTCTCCTCTTTATGGCATCCCACCAATAGTCAGCCTCCCCCTCAAACAGGTAGGTCGCCAAACCAACTCTCAACTCCTTCGCAACTCCTATGTCATCACAGATCTTCTTCACTCGACAGATCCATCTATCCGCCTCCAAAGGATTGGAGTTTCCTTGAAAATTGGGTGGTCGTTGTCTTAAGAATTCCCGAAGAACTATCATCCTTCGGTCTCCGTTCCCATTGCCTGGTACTTGAGTGAGAGGATGAGCTCCACCATTGTGGTTGTTGTTACCATTTTGGTTTTGTACCATAGTGGTGAGCTCCCTCAAGCATTGGTAAATGCCTTGCATGGCATCTGGAGGTGGTGGTGGTAGATTCGCTTGACCTCCACGGCCACGGCCACGTTTGCGTCCCCATCCTTGTTCGTCGTTCATCCTGCACATCAATTCACAACTTAGTTCATGGATGTACAAAACATCCTAAATATTAGGTTAAGCTAAGGCATAGAACGTGTATAAAATTTCACTCAAGGATTTGATTCACCATAATCCTAAAGCTCTAGAGGTGATTCCATAACCTACAGCTCTCATGTAAGACCTAAAGCCTAAGCTCTGATACCAACTTTATAACACCCCAAAACACACACTGGACGACATTACATTCTAAAACCATTCATATCATGAGAGCACTAATATAATCCCTTAAGAAACAAGATTTCATTTGTCATCCACGAATATTTACAACATTATCCAAAAGAATAAGCCTAAGTTATGACTATTACATCTCAAAAATTAATTAAGAAAGCGCAGCGGAATAAACAAAAGAAGCTAGACTACACAATGTTCCAAAAAAATGTCCTAGTCTAATACAAAAGGAAAAGAGGTCGCTCTATGCATCCACCTCAGGATCCACACTCCCGTCCAGTAGAGTCTACTAAGTAGCGGACTTCTCGACCCTTACATCCTACTCCTCAAGCCGGTAATCTGAAAAATGTTAGTGATAGGGAGTGAGCACGAAACTCTGTAGAAAAATTCTCTCAAACCCATACAAGATTTAGAAAAACATTTAAAACGGTCGGTCTCAATTTTAACATAACATAGATACATAATTTAAAATAAAACAGTAACATTTAAAAAGAATCTCAAGTTTATTTAAAAATATTACTTAAATGAATAAGCGAGCACCACATACAAATAATAACCATTAATTGTCATAACCAATTCCCAACAATTCTTTCGGTAGGTGACATACTTTGTGGTAACCTCCACCCCCCTTTAGGTCACCTTTGATTCTTAAGCATCCTTACCGGTAACCTCTTGAAAATGGATGAGTATTCTTACATGGAATCTCTCACCAATCACGACATTATTTTCCAAGCATCTTTACCGAGAACCTCTTGGGAAGGGGTGAGCATCCTTACAAGGAACCTCTCACTCATGTGCATCACAAACAACTCAACCAATCATATAATTCCAACATTCATCTCAATTTACAAGCATCTATCCAAAATTTTCAAAATATATCATGTAACAATTCTACAACCAACTAAGAAAATACATGAGATCACAATAATATCATTTTTCTACCCAACACAAAGCACTAAGGTTTCAAAATTCATAATAAAGAAAGCATTTATGAAGAAAATATATCACTCTCCAAATATTAGGGTTTTAAAACTAGAAAAGAGATTTCCTGTGTATTAAACCCTACTTTATTCAAAACATGTAATCCTTGCAAAAAGCCTAACAGATGATGATTCCATAGCATGTATATACCATTGATAGCCAAAACATACATATATAAATACCCTAGACTCAAGGTAAGTGAATGAGAGAAAACCCCTACCTTGGATCCTTAGCTTTGGTGTGAAGAACAAGAATATTTGATCTTGAATCACCCTTGAATCTCTTATTTTTTTCCTCCATTTCTTCCTCTCTAATGCTCTCTAGGGTTCCAAGAGGTGTGGGGGTGTGAGGGGAGTGAAGAAAATGAAAGCAAATGGGATGAAAATGAGTTTAAAACATAGCAGCCCCGCAAAACAATGTTCACAGGTTGTTTTGAGTTTCTCCAAATTTATGATTTTGCCACTAAGAATCTCCAATTTGATTCATATGACTATCCTAAGGTTTGTCGACGTTCCGGATTCATTTTTAATGTTATTTTAATCTGAAAACATTTATTTTTATGATTTATCTCAAAACTCAAGTCAACATACACTCGAAATACTAAAGTTTATATTTTATCCATTCGAATCGATTATTAATGAAGTTTTGCGATGTTTGCAAATAAAATGTGATAAATAGTGCTTCTTAAAGTCTTTTATTCTTATTTGAAGGCTAAAAGTACTCATTATTTTTATATTTTGATTTAGGATGCAAATGAAGACATTAAATGCAAAACGAAGCTAATTGGACTATTTCGACATCATTTCGTTATCTGAACATAACTTTCTTATCCGAGTTCTGATTGAGATGATTCAAGATATTATGGAATGATAAGAAAGAGCTCTAACACGTTCATATTTTGAGTTTTGAGAACTATTGACTACATCAAGGTCGAAATCGCGCTTGAAGTTGTATCCAGTGTACTGTTCACGTGCATTATTTACAACCTGTCTTCGTCCCTTTTTTATTTCCAATTCATTTCTAAGCTGACCAAATTCATCTCAAACCTTTTTAACACATATTTTTCTACATCAAACATATTTAATATAAGTTTTAAGATTTAAAATTTCATATTTTCACTGATTAAAATCAAATTTCAACTATTATTTCTATTGATATTTTAAATTTTTATTTATTTATTCTATCAAATTCAAACAAACATCACTACATATATTCAAATTTTTTTATTATAATTATTTATTATATATCTATATACATATATAAAAAAAAAAAGGGGTTACGGACATTCTCTCTAAGAGTCTCAGTAAAACTCTCCGAGGACAGTGTCGAACAGTCACTATGGCGGTCAACCGAGACGACGCTTTATCATTCTTAAACCCATCAACATCCACCCCAATCGCAGTCTTTGATGGAGACAGCTACCTTCTCGACAATTCCCAGATTGGAAGCGCTTCTGGAAGTTTCCAGAACGAGGGTTTTCTCGGCGGCCTCGACGGTGGAAGCAGCGGCAATGACGCTGAGTTCGGGTTCTCTCGGCCAGATTTCCGGCAAAGCCCTCTGGTTGGGACTGTTGAGTACTACGATCGCCATGTGTTCCTTAACTTCCTTTGCTACAAGAACCCTCACGTGTTGAAGCTGCTGAGTTTGATCGGTTGCCGAGGCTTCTCTCCGTTGCTCTAATGACCAGGAAAGGGGATATGAAGAGACAGGTTTGTGGGTTTTTTTTTTTTTTTTGGGGGGGGGGGGGTTTAAAGTGTTATGTGGATTAGGCCATTTTATGCTGTGATTTGGACTGCGTATTTTTATGTTTTAGCTGAATATGTGTGAGTGTGTGTTTAGGGGTTTTAGAGTTTGGGTTTTGGATATTTTTGCAGGCAAATTGAAGTAGGTTTCAATGCAAGGGCTAGGGTTTGGAGAGGTGTGTGTTTGTTTGTGCGTGTGACCTCGTGAAATTTTCCCTACTCTGAGTTAGAAGAATTTTGGGATATAGGGTTGTGGGTTTTGTCAAGCAGAAAGGGGAGTTTGTGAGTTTGGGTCGGGTTGGTGATTGAGAACCAGTGACATTTTACTCATAAGAACTTCCAGAGGAAAAGCCGCATCATTGGTATTGTAATGGTCAATGCTGGGGCTTTGTCATGTTACCATCTAATATTTGCTTTGCTACTAGAAAATGCATACCCAGGTCCTCATTCCGAGAAGATATTCATTGTAACGTGATACCATCTTAAGTGTATTTTTATTGGTCGGTGATACCACGTGTCACCGATGACTTTGTATTAACGTTGTAATGAACACTTACTTCCTTATGCACCCCCCACCCACAAAAAAAAAAAAAGAAGCCCAAATGTCATATAACAATGTCATAAGAGAAACAAATGCTGGTGATATACCCAAGTTTGATATTCCATTTTCAGTGTATTGATTATTTACCATTATGGTCAAACCTTATCACAGCATTCACAAGCTTATCAAGTTTTACATGATCCAAGGATTTAAACTAACTTTATGCTTAGCTTTGGATGAAATGAAATACTAACACCTTAATTTATATCATGATTTGTGTTTTGTAACCTGCTTGTCTGCATTGTATATAGTTGTTGTCAACTTATGTGGTGATTTCAACTGGTGATATTCTGTTGACTTAAGTATGGGTAAGATAATTAGTGTGTGGATGGCACAGTTTAGCTATGCACACAGCCTCTCTTATGTATCTACATTCTTTTACATGGTACTCATGCCTGTGCATTTTGAAACTCTTATTCTATTCCAATGGCCTTGATTTTAAAAAAAAAAAAAAAAAGTATTCTGAGTGTGGTATAAAATGTGCCTGTGGAGACAATTTGTTTATAAGAGGAAGGGAATGTAAACACAACCCACGAGTAAGTCCCTTGGGCTATCAGAATTGATGTAAACTCGAGGTTTTGTTTTGGTTTGTAAGGTCAAGTAGGCTGTTTGGATCTTGATATAATCTGGATTTAGCTTATGTATGCTTTTACTTCCTAAATTGTAAGTGTTAGGTTTGACTATCACTTTATATTTTCTTCCTTGCTTGTAGTGGCTGAGCTTTGATCATTTTACCTTGCCTTTTTACCTTTTATAATGAAGACTCGCTGAACAATATGCGAGGGACATGATGGCACTGAAACATCAAATGGAGATGTGTTAATCTTTACAGACATGATTAGATACAGGTCAAAATACAATCTATGTTTGACCACTTTTTTTTCATCACAAATTTTTTTTTTCCAGAACTGAAATTGTGATTTTGGCATCTAATGCAGGAGATTGACTCATTTTGATGTCGACACATTTGTTGAAGAAGTGCTTGTGAAGGGATCAACGTTGTGGTGTTTGTGGACCTCCTGTGATTACTAGATTCAAAGAAGAAATAGAATCATATGATCTTCAAGGCAGCGTGTCTGTTAGCCCGTTCTCACACATTGGGGGGCACAAATATGCAGGAAATGTCATCATATTTGGATCAAATATCAATGGAGATGTCACTGGGCACTGATAAGGGAGTATTTTTTAGTTCATTGGTATATTGAAAACCTACTAATGCTTTCACCTTTTTCTTGATTCCTAGTTATAGTGATTTTGCTTTTCTTCTTACCTCAAGTACACAGCTTAAGGTACTGTGATCATTGTGCAATTCCTTTTTTATTCCCGTAGGTATGGCTACGTTATGCCAGATGATGTATCTGTTTTGCTTGAGCAGCACATTGGAAAAGGAGAAATTGTAGATTTGCTATGGAGGTAATTTTCCTTTTCTTGTGCCAGTCTGTTTTTTAGTTCAGAAGGTCATCCCCATTGGACTAGTTAATTGTAATTTGAGGGTCATAAATGCTTGGGGAAAAAAAATATTTTGCACTGGAAGCCTCTATCCATGATTTAGAGTAGGTGTGGGTTGTGTTTGCACTTGTGCATAATTGCAAAGTTGTGACTGGATCATTTGTATTTTGTCTTAAGGGGACAGATGGGTCTATCAGAAGAAGACCAGAAGAAATCCCAAGAACTAAGACTCCAACAAAATGGTGGGGCCACCATGGAAGGAAGCACAAAAAACATGACACAAGCAAATGAGATGAGTACAACAATTTGTGGATCTCAAGTTGAGGGCATGAGTTGTTGCCAGGCCAATTGAAGCTCCCCTTCTTGTGCGAGCCCTCTGTTACCTGAAAAGGCAGATAGTGCTCAATTCAATGAGGTGGTGGCAAAGTTTACAGTTGAAAAGAAGAGCAGCAAGAAACAAATTTCCAAAAATAAAAGTTGCTTAGGGGCTTGCATGGGCGAAGTGTGCTCTATGCCAACATGGTTTGAGAGCTGGGAGTGTGAAGATACATATGCAACTTTTGCTGTGATTGGTGCTGCTGCATCAGTTGCCTATGCCTATAGCTGCTACAAACAGCTTAGGTAAATAAAACAATTCGAACTTTGTGTTGTGTCAATTCTGTAGCAGGGTAGCAACTTTCGCCTTCCTTGATTTCTTTGTTCTGCTTCCATTGCTGCGGCTTGATGTATAAATTTTGAAAACCTCAAAGTTGTGTGAGCAATATTTGTATTTCTTGTAGAAAATTAGGCTTCATATTAGTATGCAATCTGAATAAAATTAAAAGGCATTTCCTCGTTGTCACTGAATTCGATTACAATGTGTGCTTTAGTTGTAAATTGGTCTGTGTGATTTGATGATAGACCTTGTGCGCTCGACAGGTTTTAATAGAAGAAACTGAGGAACCAGCATTTGCGGAAGGCAGAATTACAGTTACATAATACAGTGAGACGTGATGGCAGTGAGTCCAAGAACAAATATCACTCAAGCTCTAGCTTTTATGGTCTTATAGATCTTCTCAGTAGTGACAGCTCGGGAGGTGGAGGGCGTGGGTGTCGAAGGCAGTGAATCAGCTGTCCAAGGCAGTTAAAGACAGGTCGACACCAGAGGAGGATGACACCAATTTATCCTACCACTCCCCCTGTGAATACAATAACGGTCACTGGTTCCATGATCAAGTGGCGGCTGCAATGGCTTAAACTTCAATAAGCCTTTGGAAGAGGACCTTAGATGGAGAATGTAGAAGAATGGTGGACTGTTGATTTATATGCGAATTTCTAAGTTCTGGATGTTTCAAAGATAAAAGGGGTAATCTCACTTTGTACCCTAAAAGATATTTCGATTCTCAATTTGTATTATCAAACATTAAAAATGTTAATTTACACCCTCAATATTATGAATTGGTAGTAATGTGGATTTCATCTAGATTGTCGTTTAGTTTTTTTGTTGTAAATTGAAACACGTGAATTGCAAGCGCTTCGGGTATGAACTTATGTATAAATTTACATATTGTTGATGCCTCCGTGTGTGAGTTTTACATGACAAGGTTAGAATTTATTTGATTAATAAAACCTTATTTTCAATACACAAAATGATATCAAATTAATCACAGATGAAGATCTATAGCAATGAACATATCTCATTCTTATGTCAAAAGTACTTGCACCGTGCTTCAATTTAAGAAATAAACGTTAGTCTAAATCAGGTTTACATTGCTACAAATTTACAACATTGAAGGTGTAAATTGAGATTTTTAATGTTTAAAGTTATAAATTCAGAATCGAAGTATCTTTCGAAAGCAAAGTAAGATTAGTCCAATATTAAAAGAAGAGCATTTACTTGGAAGAATAAAGCTTTGCTTCTTTATATCTCCCAAGAGAGGGTGTCATAATAACTGGTAACGTCTGATACTTCAGGGATTAGAGTTGTTAATTTTTTCCTGTTAAAAGCTACATACATAACTATGAGCAAATGAATTCTACTTGTTAAACTTTCCGCAGCAGTAAGATCATCCACCTTAGGTGGTTATGTGAAGCTTGTAATCATTTTCCTTCAGCTAAATCACGACTGATTGTAAGGTCACCAAATGAGTTTGAAAGCCCATTCTGACCGCCAAGCCTCTGGAACTCGGATTCTAATCTTTCAGCAATGTTTTCATCTTCCAGATCTGGCTCAGGAATATCCACATGGAATGACCTCTGTTTGATTAGTGCAATGGACTCCATGAGTTCAGCTTCATGCTTGATATAATTATAAAGCTGTTGATGGAACTCATGGTCCAAGGAGAAACAATTATCGGTTGTTCCATTTCTAGAAAGTCGAAATGATCCTGATCCTGATCCTGATCCTTCTCTTTTACAAAAATGTGGGAGAGATGAGTAATCCATTATCTGCATTCAGGTCACCAGTAATTGTTGTCAAAGCTAGCAATAATATAATTGACAGAAGCAAAGTCTCCGAGATCAGGACTAACACAAATATTATGAAAAAAACCCCAACATACCCAACATACCGCTTACACGATACAATAAATCCAGGACATAAATGGTACAACACACTCAGTATCATACATGACTTGACTTTGATGGTGTATAACAATGGAGTGGGGTTAGCAAATATATACTGCCTAAACTTTGTTTGCAAAATCACTAACTCAAAAGTATCAGAACTGTTGGTCAAACAATGATATTGTCTCATCCCAGCTTGCGGATTCCTCAAGTCCAAATTTCTCTGCAAATTCATTTATGATTTGTATAAAATGAACATGGGGAATGATGCACTTGCAAAAAAGAAAATCCATCTTCGGAGGAAAACATGATTATAAAATGAGGGAGCATAAAACCCATGATGCAAAAAAGGCTGACTTACATTTAATAACTCATCCCTTCCACAACCTGCCAGCACCTGAACTTTCTTCCTGGTTCTTTCTTGCAAAAGTGGCTTCACTACCTGCAATAAATAGAGTTTCATGCTGTGGATAGAAAACATTATTCTAACAAAAAGTACTGATGCATTTTGCTAAAGGAAGATGAGACAAACCTTCCAGCATGCTGAAAAGATGTATGGAGCATTAACAATATAATACGTATCTGTCTTCTCTGGATAGTTCAGGTCATCAATTGTAGATAAAACTGTCAATAACTGCAAGCAAGTGTGAAGTCGGAATCAACAATGTAGTGCCATGAGCTAATTGTAGACTTAATGAATCTAATTATCTGTAACTATAAATACCTACTAGAGAAAAATGAACGAGAAGTTGAGTTTTCAGAGTTGGCCAAATTTTGCAAGTATCAGAAAGGAACACAGAACTTGTAGATATCCAACTAAATGGAACTGTTTAGTAGAGGAAATTTTCCAAGGTCTTTGTTGCTGGTGTGATTGATTGAACTGCAAATAAGTTGATTCTAAGGTATCAAGGCAGTAGTTAGGTGAAAAGGGCCACTTATGAAATCTTGCTTCTGCCACATCGGTGAGTAATATGTGGAAAACTCACAAACAGAAGGACAACCAAAGGTTAGATAAATTTAGTATGACTGTAGTGAACTGAACTTTTCACTGCATGAAGTTGGCTACTGCGTTAAATAAAAAAAATTGCAATTATTGGGAAAGTTCATGAGGGGAAAGAAATTCCTGGTTTAAATAGATTAAAAGTATCGAAAGGAGGTCCCCAATACAACGAAATACCTTAATTTGGTTCAGTGCTGACAGCTTTAGACCAGTCATATCCAAAATCTTCACACAAGTGCTAATATATCGCCCATACTTCTTTGTTGCACAAGGCTATAATAGAGGTATGAGTCAGTTCACACGAAAACATATGGCAAAATATACAATTTAACAATCTCAAGCCTGCAGACACCATTCTCACCAATATCACGCGGTCCCTATATTCATTCATTTGGATGTGTGACTGAACATAGTACTGAACCTATAATGGAAAAAAAGTCTGCAATTAACCATCACTGTTAAAAAAATCTTCCTATTACCCGCAGAAATAAAGCATGCATCTGGCAACACTAAATTGATCCCTTTTGCTCGATGGACATTCATGCAGGAGCAAATCGTTTATAATATAAGGTGTTATTTGTCCTAAAGGTACGAAAAATGCATGCCTACAAGGCTACAAGCTTAAAAAGGAGCAGTAAGTACTAATTAGAGACTCCTGTTCAAAAGAATCAAAACCATGGATAAAGGTGAGCTTCATCAGAACAAAATGCAAGAACACCCTCTCTTTTCTACACCAGCTGCTGTATTTGATACCTTAGTATTTATCCACTTCAGGAATGACTGGATTTATTATGTGGTGCTATCATCTTGATGAAAGTGGAGAGCTTAAACATTAAGCCCTCATATGACTTAAACTTCCTCAAATATGCAAGAAAAACATAGTATTTCAGTAATGTCAAAAATCTTGAGTGATATCATATACTTGTTAGCGCTTGAGAACTGTTAACTTAGATTGTCAACCAAAATTGATTGAAGACAAAACAATAGAAAATCCTTACTGATGCTTTGTCATATGTGCTTAGTCCTACGCCGATAGCAATGATAGGAAGGCCCTGGAAAGTTAAACAAGAAATAATAAAGAAGCCATGAGTTGCAAATCATTTGTGTACCAGGATCACTATAGAAATTAGATATAGATGTCTGCTAAAGGGTTGCAGCATGACAATAGAAAGAATAGACATCCGAAAGAAGTAATAATGTGTCAAAGGAATACCTCTTTTGAGTAACCTGACATTCCAATAAGATATGAATCCCGCACTGCTCTATACAAATCAGTAGGAATGATTGGTTTCTGCAAAGAGAACAAATTAAAATCATCAATGAAGTAAATTTTATGGACCACCTTAAAAGGGGTGATCTTGTCTACGGGTGCAGTGCTAAGTGACCAATTAATGCTCTTCCAAAATTACGTTGTCATTTCAACTTGTAATATCTTATACGAGTCTATTGATGTTGTAATACTTTACATCCCATGAGAGCAATCAAACTTCCACAAGTGATTCCTCTTCAAGAAGCTGGGGTGAGCATAGCCAAACAGGATAAGACATATTATATCATGGTGATGCAATGAACAGCACAGATAATCACATGGAGTCAAAATTTGCTTGACTGAACCATGGCCTCCAAGCAGATAAGTCTAGGAGAACACAACATAAACATCAGGCATACTACCCATCATCATTCCATGTCAATTACAAGAGCTATGCAACTTCCGAAGTAGAATAAGTAGTGTTATGCACAAATTCAAATGGGAATGAGTGGAGAAGACACCACCTCATGCAATCAAAAATTACCAAACGGAAAAGAGCCATATTAAGCACAAGCCAGGATTAGTATGATTAACTAGGAAATAGACACGTGACCAAATTAAACATAATAGCAAAACTTACCGCCAATATGTTGTCGATCTCATTTTGTACTCTCCAGTTCAAAGAATCAACCATCTGGGAAGTCACACAATCAGTGAGAAATGAAGATATAAAAGCTTGTTTCAATATGTCAACTGAAATCATCACATCTAACCATTTTATGGGCTTTGGAGACATTCCCTTCCCTCGCTTTGAGAAACCGCACCAGATTTTCTGTTGGGTATCCTTCATGAATACTCTGAAAACAAGACAAAAGGTTATAGTTATGGACCTTATGGCTGTTTGTGTACAAGTTCTCTAGCTGAATTTATGTCCAATCCAATTTCCATCAATATTTACCATCTTTTACATCATTATGAGCTGAATGTTATGCAGTAGGCAATCCAGATCATAGACTTTTCATTTATCCAGATCATAATACTTAACCCAATTTTGCTCTTTCATGAAGGAATTAATTATATTTTTGCTCATAATTTCTTAATTAATCTATGTTTTTTTCAAAAACGATAAAGTGAATAGAAGGATTGTCACCGAATGGGTCTGATTTTGTATAATATCTGATAAATTATCTGAATTCGCCGTTTTATTTTAGTGTGATATCATGTGTTATGAAAAAAAATCAAATTTTTTTTTAAAAGAGTCAAAATTGTGTAGCATACTATTGGGTTGTGTTCAATATTTGACAAATTTTGTGAATGCACCATTTTATTTAAATTTGTGTAGAATTTTCACGAAAAATTTATAATCCGGCTGACTTTGTGGTGAAGTTTTTTTGGACTTCAAGTCATGTTAGTGATTTTAATGGAAAGACTTATTTAGTTGTTTTTAAATTTTATGATTTTTCATATAATCACTTCTTTGTAATTAAAGCCAACCAAAGGGGCAAAAGATTAAGTTAGGATTTTAGTTTAAAATTATGTTGAAAAATTAGGACTCTTGTGGTCTTAATAGAAATCTAAAGGCTTCAGCCATTCAGACTATGAACATAACATTACAGAATCCAGGTAATTTATAACATCAAAACTTAAGTCTGCAACTGCATCAATGGTTTCAATTTTCAGCTCACACTCATCCACAACTCTATTGAACCCTAAATATACAAAAGATGGACTAATAATAAGTGCGAGCATAATCCACACAACAAAATAAAAATGAAATATACAGGACACAACCCATGAAGAATAACTTAATAAGCCAAGATCGAATTCAACTATACCAAATATACTGATCTTTTAATCTAAATGACACAGAACTTCCATGGAAATTTGCATAAATGGATGGAATAGAGGCGTACCTTGAAGCTGTTCTTGAGTGGTTCATCAACTGTAAACACCAAGAAAACAGAGGAAATGTTAATGTTTGTAGATCCCAACAGCAAAAAGAGACAAAAATTCAAGAATTGTTAAATGGGTTTAAAGCAGCTGACTTTCTTCCATCAATGAGCTGAACTGTTTGATCATTTCTTGTGTTATCATCCCCATTTTCTCCCACACTTTCTCTGTAGAGAGATTCCAAACCCAGGTTTGATTTTCTGATTTTCTTCACTTTTAGGAGTCAGAGAAGAAATGGGTAACCAAAAACCCTTCTGAAAAATCTATACCTATTTCTTTTCCACCAACTCTGGAGATAAAAATACTCCTTTCTTCACATATTTTATGGGGTGCTAGAGAGAGAGAGAGAGAGAGACTGCGTAATGTAACCTTCCGAGTTAGAATCATATGGTGTCGTTTTCGTGATAGTTATATAATTTATTTATTCTTTTTGGGAGTCAACTGTAATTAATTCTACCATGTATAGAGAAAATAATGCAATTACTGTTCAAATAAAAAGCTGTATAAAGGGTAGTAGTAGGAGGAGGCCAGTGAAGGCTATGGAGTTGCGCAATTAACTCTTCGGAACACGACATGAATCACGGTGTCAACGAAGCAACATATAGGGCAATTAAGGACCTTCTAGTCGGAAGCAATCCATACCCATTTAATGCTATTAAATTATTGTTGTTTAAAATTATCGGTTAGTCTAATAATTATCGTCAATTTTATACCTCTTGTTTGATAAAACAATAAAAAAATTATTGTTATTTGGACTCATGCTACAAATCAATCTTCTTATGTTAAATATATAGTTCAACACAATTGTATGATATTGGATTAATAATTTTCAATCCTATATATAATCAAGAAACTGTCTACGATATCAATATTTTTTTCGTCGATACCGTACCGACATTTATTATATTCGTAGATATTTTTATTACTGTTGTGAGTGTTTTTATTACTATTGTGATAAAAAAAAAATAATAAAAATAGTTACCAAATCATTGATAAAAACACCCACAAAAGTGTTAATTATTTTTGTAAATAAAAAAGTAATTAAAATAGTTATCACAATATTAATAAAAATACTTACAAATATGATAAATTATTCATAAAAAATAATAAAATATTTGGTTATAAAATGGTGTATAAAATTTATAAAAATATCTATTAAATTAATAAATTTTAAAAATATAATATCAATTTTTTTTTAGGTAGCATAGTCAAGTCATTTGCAAGCATGCTGATGTGGACATGCGGTTGGGTCATTTTTGTGAGGTAGCCAACACCTGTCCCTTGGTACTACTAGACCAAGAAAATACTGGTGGTAAGTAAGAGGCTTTAATCTTTGGCTGTTGTTTGTGGACGTAAACTTCGGCGAAAACGTAGGATGCAAATGAAAACACGCCTACGGTTCGGTTGGTTTGTCTACAAAGTAGTGCTTGACATTGGTTTACTTTTCAATTTTCTCTATCTGTTATCCAAATTTGAAAACTCATCCGATTGACTTGTACGATGAAATGGACCACGCTCGAGTTTAAAATTGAGTTTAAACTCATGTTTAAAATTGAACTAAATTTAGGTATATAAATAAATTCGGTTTGATTATTAAACTTGTGCTTAAGGTTGAGTTCAAGTCTGATAGGCATTACTCTAATTCTGTTCGATTATTAAATGGACTCAATTAATTTGATAAATAAATGAAATTGAAGGAGTTTTGATCAATATCAATCTCAAACTATCCTTCAACAACTTGATTTATTTGTACTGTAGTCCTATCTAAATAGTTTTGCTCCCTATATTTGCAGGCCTGTAAATGTGTGGACAATGTCATATGGGTTGTTAATGGGCCAAACATCAGCTGTCTGATTTGGCTTGCCTGCAAAGCCCATGGTAAATCCAGCATCTCTCTCTCTCTCTCCTATTATTTATTTTGTAATTGTCTATGGTACCAAAAAAAAATTTGGTATCATACTAACATTTACAATATTTATGAGTGTTTTTATCAATGCTATAAGTATTTTTATTATTGTTACGGTATCGAAGAAAAGTGGTAAAAATGCTCAAAATTAGTGGTAATAAAAACACCAACAAATACAAGAAAATATCCACAAGAGTGATAAAAATTTTGTACTAAAAAAAAAATGGTGAACATAGTTGGGATAACGGGAAAAATCTCTGGTATGCTCTCGACAAATAGAGACGCGTTTATGTCGCTCAAGTTCATGAGTTTGAATACAATTAAAAGCAAACTCGAGGTGCATGAATCGGACATGCGCTTTTATGGGGAATTCGAATTCATACCAGAGATTTGGATACGATTCGTCTAAACAACTGAGATTCATTCTATCAACCAATAACGCTTTTTATCGCCTCATAAGACTTGAATCATTGACTTCAAAAAAGGTAAAATTTTCACAAGAAAAGAAGTATTATTGGACCAAAGGCTCGTTAGTAGTGATAAATATAGTTACCATAACAGTGGTAAAAATACCAATAACAACGATAAAAATACTCGTAAAAGTGATAAATTTTTTATTGTAAAATGATCTATAAAAATTATAAAGACGCTTATTAAAGTAGTAAATTTTGAAAGTACGATACTGAATTTTTTTTTTTTTTTGATACGATAGTCAAATTCTTTTTTGCATGTTAAAGCATTACCTTAGATAATTGTCTCATATTTTATTGGTAAGGTGGGTTAATAAGGTGAGCCTAAGGGTAATTAATATGGTTGATTCAGACATGGATATAAAATGGTCAAAGATGCTTTAGGACTGCATGGGGAAAAAACAAATTTTAGAGTAAATTGAGAAAAAGAATCTTGCAATATAAAATGCTGGTCTTGATACTTTAATCAATGTCGCATAATTCCCACAACAATATAGGGTAACAAATATTCAAAAGTTAAACCTTATCTAGTGGTCGATGCAAGTAAGAGATCTTAAGTTTGATACTTCTCACATTTCTTAAAGGTCAGTCACCCTTATTTACTAGGAGACATATCCTTAAACTAACTCGAATTACGAAAATCGATTCTGAACTAGAGAGAATAGTCGATGTACTTGAACATCTTGTAGCAATAAAAAAAAATCTAGTGTTTTACATATTTCACGAGAAATTTTGTAACGGTCTGAATCACTACGTATATGCTCTTATTGAATGTCACTTTTCTCAACACAATAGAGTTATCATATGATAATGTATAAAGAAACAATATGAAGAATATATTGCAAGGCGTAATCTCTACTTGTCATCTAATTTGAAAGATGATTAAATAACACATCATTATTTTGTTTAATTATTAGTAATCAACAGCGTTATTGAAAGCTAGAGCCTAATTTTTTATTCCCAATGGTAGAGAGAATCTTAGGTAGATACGTGCGATCATGTGTTCACCCATTTTTAGTAACTTACTAGAAAATATAGAAAATAAGAGATGTGGATATAGTCTCATGCGTAAGAGCTAAAAGGAAACTAAAAATATATAGACATATAATACTAAAAACCTCGAAATTGCATTTAGAGGACCCAAATTGTCTGATGTTTAGTATAAGAGTGCATCCTTTCAATAGCAGAGATTTATATAAAAAAATGTTAATTTATTGACTTAATTTACTTTAATTTATCGATATTAAGAGTTTGACCAAAACTAAGAATAGGTACGTCCTATCGTAACTTTGGCAAACTTCAAACCCGGTTGGAAAATTGGATTTAAAAAAAAAAGGTTTTGGGATAAAAAAATTATTGTAAATTAATGATCAATTAAAATATCATTCACCACCTTTCTATGTCTATATATGATATTGCCGCGAGGAATGTGAAAAAAGTTGTTCATAATATCTAATAGCCTTCCATCCACTCTCCCAATGGTTAGGCTCTTTTTTGGAGGTAGTATTTTGACTTGAGCTTGTTATTCTTTTTGGACACTCGTGATTGCAATATGGTGGTTGGTAAAATATGTTCAAAATATTTATCTATCCCTTTGTATGTTTTCATGAAAAAGCAACAAAAGAGATGGATCAAATTTTGACAGAATTTAGTTTTATTGCTATAATCGAGAATACCCGGACAGATGCGGGGATAGCTCAGTTGGGAGAGCGTCAGACTGAAGATCTGAAGGTCGCGTGTTCGATCCACGCTCACCGCATTTTTCCTTCTTCTTTTTCCTATGTTCTATGTGGAAACTCCTTCACATTGGCAAATCCACAAACACATGGTGGACAGAGACCTGAACAGAATTATCTCGTTCCAAGTTTTTCCGGCCACGAACTGTCGTTATCAAAATTTCTTCTTCATAAATATATATATATATTTTGAGTTCTCAGTGACGCTAGTTGCACAAGCTTGTACTCGTTTATCATCAAAATCTAAAACAAGTTTGAGATGGATTCACAGTTACTTTTAGAAGGGACAAATCTCTTGAGTGCAAAAGATTGGGTTGTAACTTTATCTAATTACTTCAGTAGAGTACCAATAAAACTTATTCAATTCTATAGTCTTTTCCTTTAAGAGATTTGACTTAGTAATCTTTAAAAAGAACAAAAGTGGTCTGGAAGCCTAAAAAAAATGGCTCAAAACACGAGACTTTCGTTATTGCGGACCTAATAAGGGTTTGGATATCCATAACCTTTCGCGTCTCAAATGCCCATATCATAATAAAACAAACTTAAACTAGGGTCCACCCTCTAGCTTAATAACCATCAAAATGAGAATAAAATCCCAAGAATCGAGATAATTTCCACAAAAAAATAAAATAAAATAAAATAAAAAAACATCAAGGAGCCATGGCAATTCTGAACTGTGGCACAATTGCTTACTGGCTTTTGAGTTTGAGCAAAATCAATGGCCTGGATTGGGGCTAGGTTCCTAATAACAAATCATAAAGAAATGTAGCGTTTGACAGGCATATAGACTGACTGATAAAACTATCTTCAACCTCAGGTGAATGAGAACAAATAAAAGCTTAAAACAAGTTGCCGTACAGTATTATATAAAACAAACTAATTTCATCTTTTGACAAAGCTGGAGCATGAAAGCCTTGATTTTGGTTGGGTTCGCCTCCACTCCCCTTTTATTGACCAGGAAATCCAAGAATTTTTCCAATCCTATGCCAAAGACGCATTTCTCACGAGTCAATTTCATGCAGTAAGATATTAGGATATCAAAAGTCTCCTACAAGTGGGTCACATGGTCTACTACGATAAGGCTTTTTATTAACATATCGTCCACATATACCTCTATAGTTCTCCTGATTTGTGACTGGAAGATCTTGTTTACCCGTCATTGATATGTTTCTCCTGCACTTTTTAGCCCAAATGACATGATCCTGACAGTAGGTCTTTTTAGGAGTGATGAAAAATGTCTTCTCTTAGTTTGAGGGATACATGTTAATCTGATTATATCCTGACTAGGCATCTAGGAAGCTAAGCAATTCATGACCCTCTATGGCATCAATAAAAATGTTGATGCACAGCAGGGGGTAGCTGTCATTGGGACTGGCTTAGTTGAGCTCGGTGAAGTCTATGCAAAGGTGTCACTTTCCACTGATCTTGGTCACCATCACAACATTGGAGGTAAGCCTGGAGAAGAACGACAAATTCCAAGGAACAGGTGTGTGGAAGATCATTACTAGAGCTCTTGATGAGGCATGCATGCACCTAAATAGAAGTTTATGATTGTTTCTGAGGCTGGGCATACTTGTGCTAGTCATGTATGAGTTCTGTAATCTTCAGGGTGAGGATATCTTTGCTGCAGCAACAAGAGAAGTAAAAGAAGAAATTGGAGCAAGTCATAAGTGTGTTATCCATACGTAATGTGAATCTTAACTATCTCATGTTTCTTACTTGCAAATCCATACCTAATGTGAATCTTAATTATCTCATGTATCTTACTTGCAAGTGTTAATCGTCATTTTAAGGTTTCTGAACAAAGTTTTTCGACAATCTCGAAACTTCTGGAACTAAACATTTTCGTACTCTTGGACGTATATTAGATAATAATAAAAAAAAATTGCCCAAATAAGTGTAATACTTAGAGACATTATGTAGACCTTTGAAAGATCCTATATTGTACCTTCAATTTGGTGGTTGGGATACATCAAGATTCTGGTGAAACTTGATTTAATTTGCAAATTAGGATCCATGGTTCCAATGTTTTAGTCATGTCTTCGCAGGTTTATTGATTTAACTGACAGGCAATCTCACAAGTACTCATTCTTTGAGAAGTCAAGACTTATTCTTTATATGCATGGGCATACATTAGTGAAAAAAGAAATGCAAAAGAAAGAAATATAGAGAAAAAAATAGCATTGGAGTAGAAAGAAAAGGAGAGGAAGAAAAATTGGGCGGAAGGAGGAAGGAGGAAGGAGTAAGGAGGAGGAGAAGAATGAACGAGTAAAACAAGCAGAAGAATAGTACTAAGTCAATATTACAAAGTACTCTTTTATGATGGGCATACATTAGTGGATAGGAAGAAGGACAATGAGAAAGAGGAGGAAGTAGAAAAGCGGGAGAAGAAGAATGAAGGAGAGGGAGAAGGCGGAAGAGGAAGTAAAACCCCCAAAATAAGAAAGAATAGCAGAAAAAGGAGGAGAAAGTGAAGGATGATGAGGAGGAGGAGGAGGACAATAAGAAGAAAAATGAGGAAAAGAAGGAGGAGAAAAAAGAGAAGAAAAATTAGGAAGAGATGCAGAAAGAGAAATAGAAGAGGAAGGAACACAGGAGGAGAAACAGAGGAAAATTGGGAGGAAGGAGTGAGGAGAAAGAAGAGAAGGAGGAGAATGAAGGAGTAAAATAAGAAGAAGAATAGTCTTAAGTCAATATTACAAAGTACTCTTTTATGATAAGAATACATTGGTGGAGAGAAAGAAAAAGGAGAATGATAAGAATAAGAAGAAAATGGATTATAAGAAAAAGGTGAATGAGAGGAATAAAAAGCAATAGATTAAGAAAAAGGAGTAGGAGGAGGAAGAAGAAGGAGATAGTAGAATGGAAAAAGAAAGAGGAGGAAATGAGAGGGGAGGAAGGATGGAGGAGAAAGAGAAGAAAAATAAGGAAGAGGAGAAGAAGGAGGAGGAAGAGGAAACAACCCAAATAATAAGAAACATTAGAAGAAAAAAGAGGAGAAGGAAAATGAAGAAAGAAGAGGGAGGAGAAGGAAAAGAAAATGAGGAGTTTCTATTTTTCTTTGATTATTCTCAAAGGAGAGAGAAAATAGAAGAGAAGGACCATTAAAGGGGAAAAAGAAGAAAAATGAGGAAAATCGGGAGGAAGAATGAGGGAGGAGAAGGATAGGAAGGAGGAAGAGAATGGAAATGGGAAGAAGGAGAAGGAGAAGAAGGAGAAGAAGAAGAAAAGAATAGTCACTCGAAATATTAAAATTTATGGCGACTTTAAGGAACATTGGTGAATTGCGAGAAATAAAAACTAAAATAGAATCGGAGAAGGAAAAAGTGAAAAAAGAGAAGAAAAAGGAGAAGAGGGAAGAAAAGGAGGAGAAGTTGAGGAAGAAGGAGAAGAAGTAGAGAAGAGAAGTCACACGAAAGATCAAAATTTCGCGTCAATTCCATTTTGCCCCCAAAATGATTTATCTTCCCAAATTGCATCCTCAAAGAAAAAAAAACGTTACAATGTGGTCCACCGTCTTTTTACCGTTTGATCATCCATCTTTTTTTGTACCAAATTAACCAATCAAGAATCACAAAATAGACGTATGACCAAATAGGAAAAAAAAAAAAAGGAAATAAGACGGTGGATCATAATGCAACATTTTTATTTTTTTAAGGGAACAATGTGAAAAAATTAATCATTGGGGAAGCAAACTATGATTTTTTGTATCTATTTTTTCCAAAATTTATGGCGGATTTGAGGAACATCAGTAAATTGTGAGAAATAGAAACCAAAACAAAATTGGGTAAGGAAAAGGGGAAGAAGAAGGATGAGGAGGAGGAGAAAGAGGAGAAAGAGGAGAAGAATGAAGTAAGAGGAGAAGGAGGAGAAAAATGAGCAACAGAAGTAAAAAGAGTAGGAAGAGAAGCAGAAGTAGGAGAAATAGAAGAGGAGGAAGTAAAAGAAGAAGAAGAAGAATATCACCAAGTCAATATTACAAATTACTCTTTTATGATGGGCATACATTGGCAGAGAGGAAGAAAAAAAAGAATAATAGGAATAAGAAGAAAGTGGAGTAGAAGAAGAAGATGAAGGATAGAAATAATAAAAAAGAGTTTAAGAAAAAGGAGTAGGAGGATGAACAAGGAGATAAATAATACATCCAAATCATAGAGTTATTTTACAACTTTATAGAGAGAGAAGCTCTGCCTTCTCTAGAATTCCCAAGTTCATGACTACAACACCAAGTTCTTCTCAAATCCCACCTAAACCACCAAATTTACAAACTACAAATGTCCCAGCAGCACAACCAACCTTTGCTTCCCTCTTTAACCAACCAACCAAGCCTAAATTTGAAGACTCTTTATCAAAGATTGAGAAACCAGTGGTATTCTATGAAGGTGAACCGGCCTTCTACTTCACCAACGAAGAAATTGAAGACTCTCGTCAATCCATGCAATATTCCTTGATTGGTAAATGCTCTTATGGCAGGCCATCTCTAGGTGTAATCAAGGAGGTAATAAGATCCAAATGGCAACTCAAAGGAGAATTTGAAGTGGGTTCAATTGATCAAAGACATATACTAATTCAGTTCCAACTTCAAGTAGATTATGTGAAGACATGGTTGAAGGATGCTACGCTGATCGAAGATTATTTGTTTCGATTCTTCAAATGGTTCTCAGGTTTCGTACCAGGGGTTGAGCCTTCGATTGTTCCCATGTGGATATCTTTACCAGGCTTGCCTCTGAATTTCTTTAAGAAGAATTATTTAGAGGTGTTAACCAAACCTATTGGGAAAGTCTTGGCTTTTGATCAAGCTACGTTATCATTATCAAGACCGGGTGTTGGAAGAGTATGTGTGGAAGTCAACCTACTAGCTAACAATCCGTCCAGAATTTGGCTAGATATGGGAGATGAAGGAGCTCGTTGGCAGCGTATTGTGTATGAGAAGAACAAGAAATTCTGCAAAGCCAGCAGAAAGCAAGGCCACAGCGAGGAAGATTGCCAAATAAGGAAACCTCAGGAAAATTTGGAAAACAGAGATTTAATTACTAAAGAAGCCAAGGTGAATAAGGTTATAGCAGAGAAGAATAGGGAAAGCATATCCAGCAAACCTCGGGAAATAATGGAAAACAAAAGCTACTGAATATGGAGAATATTGGGAATAAGGGAACTCAATCGCAATTAAAAATTTCAAACATGCCACAGCAGCAAATTTGGAAACTACAGTATAGGCAGAAACAAATTGTAGTGCAGCAAGGTAATTCGGTGAATGTTCAGGATACTGTGGAGCAATTATAGGAAATGTATGAGGAGGACACAATGAGAGTGACGGAGACTGGTGACCAATCCGAGAAAGATAATAGCTCTTTTCCTCAGGCTGATACTAGAAGCCCAACTGATCCAACGGAGGAAATTAGGGAAGCAAATAAGGAAACTTTGGATATCACAAAGGAGGAAATTCAAGACACAAGAAAGGAAACTTTGGAGAAGACAATGGAGGATGTTCGGGAGACAAGTCAGGAAGCTCTGGAGACTGCAATAATGGCGAATCCCAATGAGAAAATGAATATGCAGAATTCTGCGTTATCATTTCTGGCGGAACGTGATTATAGTTGTGCTGAAAATATGGGTCTCACTCAGGACGATGAAAGGGACCTGATTTGCGCTAAGTTACCTCCTGATAAAGGCTTTTAATATGATGAAGAAATTGGAAATAATCTTGAATGTGTTGAAATAGACTCTCTTAATTCAGACAATGATGAGAGTTTTGAGATAGATTTGCAAGTGAATGATTCCACTCACTCTATGATTACTAGATCTAAGTCTATGAGGCAATCAACATCCCAAATTTCTCATGATTAATACGATTTCTTGGAATGTGAGGAGGCGAACAAAGAAGCCTCTCGAATGAGACTTAAGGAATTAGTTAAATTAAATGATGTCTGCTCAGTATCTCTTCTTGAACCAAAAATACGACCTTCTAAATTACAAGCACTATGTGGTTACCTGGGATTTTCTTCTTCTGTGGCAAATCCAATGGCTGAAAAACATATTTGGGTTCTCTGGGACCACAGAGTGAAGGTGAATGTGACAGTTGTGCATGAGCAAGCTCTCACGATTGAAGTATCTTTCTGGGTTCATTGTCTTTTTTTATTGATAGGGCATTGACTAATGTGCAGTGGGGTGATAGATTTGAGAAGACAAAGATTGAACATGCTGGTAGAATTCATTCTGATCATTGTCCCCTTATATGTAGATTTTTGGAAATTTCTGCTCCAAGGAGAATATCCTATTTCAAATTTCTAGATATGTGGACGGAACATCATACTTTTGCACAACTGGTGGAGGAAAAATGGGCTGGTAATTACTCCAACAATCCGATTGAAAATGTATTTTTGAAGCTTAAGTACTTGAAACTACACTTGAAGAATGGAACAAAGAAGTTTTTGGCAATTTATTCGAAAACATTAAGTTGAAGGAGAAGCAGCTGCAGCAAGCAGAATTAAGGGTGAAGGAAGATGATTCGGAGCTCAACAATCACGCTTTAAATAATGCGAAAGTGGAGCTGGAAGGAGTTCTACGGTTAAAGAAAATGTATTGGAGGCAAAAAACAAATATGAAATGGGCACTCGAAGGAGAAAGGAACACCAAATTGTACCGTGCCATCGCAAGAGGCAAAGTAGCAAAAAATAGAATTTCAAGAATTAAAAATGATGAAGGGAACTAGTTAGAGGAGGAAGATGCAATCGCTAGCAGTGCTGTGGATTTCTTTTTTGCACTTTATAAATCGGAGGCTCACACAATGGACCCTGAGTTGTTTGGTGACATACCTAATTTGGTCACTTTGGAAGAAAACTTAAAGCTAACCTCCCCGGCTACCATGGAAGAACTCAAGTCTGTCGTCTTGGGTATGTCTACTCAAAGTGCGCCGGGTGCTGATGGTTTTTCAGGTAAGTTCTTTCAAACTGCTTGGGAAGTCATTAAGTGTGACATTTTGGATGTTGTTAATTTTTTCTTGCAAGGCGGAGTGATACCACGATCAGTTAATGCCACTATTCTATCTTTGATACCCAAAAAGGACATTCCATTGACATTTGCTGATTTTAGGCCCATTAGTCTTTGTAATTTTTTATACAAAATCTTCACTAAGCTGTTAGCAACTAGACTTGGTGGTTTGCTGCCTAAGCTTATCTCAAAGGAGCAACATGGTTTCGTCCAGGGTAGAACTAGGAGTGATAGTGTTGTCCTAGCCTAGTTTATAATGAATGAACTAGATAGAAAGGTGGAGGCCGGGAATGCTATTGTCAAGCTGGACATGATGAAGGCAAGATAGACTGGAGTGGGATTTTTTGAAACAAACATTGAAGAGTTTTGGATTTTCCGAAGACTTTGTAGCCATTGTTTCTAATTGTCTGAATCATCAGAATATTTCTTTGACTATAAATGGTGTTCTGGCTTCTTTCCTAGTTCGAGAGGATTAAGACTAGGTGATTCATTATCACCTTCTCTTTTTATTCTAGCAGAGGAGGTATTGAGCAGAGGTTTGAGGTTCCAATTTGAGCAAGGATCAATAGAAGGATATCACACAGGTAGGGGTTCAAAGCTCTCAAGTCATTTACTGTTTGCGGATGATACTCTCATTTTTTTGAAGGGGCGTAAGAGGTCCATGACTAATCTGTTGAAATTTGTGGGGAGGTATGAGCAATCATCTGGTTAGAGAGTGAACAAGCAGAAGAGCTCACTCTATTGCTCTTCTAAAATCTCAGTTAGGAGAAATATGTTATCACAGGTTGCAAACATCCCTCTTAAGCAATCACATCTTACCTATTTGGGTTGTCCAATTATTAGGGGGAGAGTCAAGCTACTCTATTTCGAAGATATATTGAAGAAATTTCAATCACGGTTGGGGGGTTGGTATGCTAAACTTGTTTCTAATATGGGTAGGTTGTCCTTATCAAATCGGTTCTATGTTCCCTCCCTATACATCTGCTAGCTTCTCTGAACCTGCCTAAGGGTATCATAGCTAGAATGAATTCTGCTATGTCTTCTTTTATGTGGTCTAATAAGACAAATACAAGGAAAAGGCATTTGGTATCTTGGGAGTCTATTACTTTGCCATTGGAGGATGGAGGTTTGGGAATTAGGAAATTTGAGGATGTGCAGAGCTCATTTAGAATGAGAGCTCATTTAGAAGCAGAGCTCATTTAGAATGAAACAAGTGTGGAACCTTCTACAGAATAATTCCCTTTGGTCTTCATTCTTTTCGACCAAGTATTTAGGAGGCAAACATTTATTATTGCACAACACCCAGGCGCATTCCAGATGTTACACATTACTCTCTCCTTGGTTTGAAGTCATGGGTAACAATTCTAGGAAACTTGTGGGTTCAGGGGCTAATGTTGATTTCTGGTGTGACAATTGGACGGGTGGGGGTTCTCTCCTTCCTAGGAACTCAACTATCCCAGTTTTCTACCCTAAATTATCTGAACTGCTGGTCCAAGGTCAATGGCAGCTTCAAAGTGTGATTAATCTATTGGATCAGAATCTATTGCAAGAGGTTCAATCATCTGGAGTTGTACTCTCTGACAAAGAGGACAACCTGATTTGGCAGCCCTCTGCTTTGGGGGATTTCTCTATCAAAACAGCTTGGGAATTATCTAGGAGAAGGAGTCCAAAGGATGAACATGCCATTAGTATTTGGAAGCAGCACTCGACTCCTAGTGCGCAATTAATTGGGTGGAAGCTCATGAAGAATGCACTCCCATTGGATTTAAAGTTCAAATCTTTGGGAGTCTCATTGGCTAGTAGATGTCGTTTATGCTATGTGAGGAGGAATCAGCTAATCATTTATTTATTTCTTGTCAATTAAGTTCGCAGCTTTGGTACAGAATTGCTGGAATGTTTGCCTTTCAGGTATTCCCTTCAGAGACCCCACTATCCAGATGCATCAGATTGTGCAGGACTCACCCTAGGCAATCAAGAAATCATGTTTTGATAAGAGCTATATCCTTGCTGGTTTACTGGCAACTATGGAAGGAGCGGTGTTTTAGAGTATTTGAAAATCAAAAGCAGTCTCTAATCTCTTTGGTCTCTATTATTCTTCATCGGCTCAGGTTACAGATAAGCATTTTCAAACCCAAAGCTATTGATACTGCTTTTGAGAAATTTATGCTTCAATCTCTCAGTGTCAAGTTGTCTATGGTGGTTTGTAGGAGTGCTAAATGGATTTGTTGGAATTTCCCTCTGCCTGGNATGTCAGGTTGTCTATGGTGGTTTGTAGGAGTGCTAAATGGATTTGTTGGAATTTCCCTCTGCCTGGTTTTCTTAAACTAAATACTGACGGTGCCTCAAAGGGCAATCCAGGTCCAGCTGGTGGTGGTGTGGTTTTACGAAATGAATGGGGTCAAATGGTTCTAGCTGGTTCATACTACTATGGAACTTGCTCAAACATGGAAGTTGAAGTCCTTGCACTATTGGATGGTCTACTTCTTGTGAAGGATTATGGGTCAGAAGTCTATCCTTTGATCATAGAAACAGATACTCAGGTTCTTGTGGACTTGATCAAACAGAATGCTAAATGGTCTTGGAAATTTTGGCCAATCAAGGATTCTGCAACAATGCTTCTCATATTCACTCCTATCCTAATTCCCTTCATCTACATATGCGACAACTACTACTACAGGATCAGAGACAGATTAAATCTCNGCTCCTTCTCAGAAGATTTTTTCTATTTTGCAAAATTTTGATTATCGAATACAGCATACTTATAGAGAAGGGAATGCAATTGCAGACTCTTTGGCCAATCAAGGAGTCTGCAACAATGCTTCTCATATTCACTCCTATCCTAATTCCCTTCATCTACATATGCGACAACTACTACTACAGGATCAGAGACAGATTAAATCTCTGCACTCTAAGGTTGAAGTCATCAACGAGGTGCTTTATGATGCAACATACAGATATGCATATCAGGTTCATTAAGGCAGATCAGAATTATGTCTCAATATGTTTCAGAAATGCATGCACATCCATCAAAATCTCAAACAAGCAATACAGTCTGTTTACACAGTCCAGTCCTATACATGAAATTCTCTCCAGAAGTAAAGACGATCAAGAAGTAAAGAATATAGTAGGCACCTGGTTACCTCAGGATGTAATTGGATTCTGGTATTATTGGGGTAGTAACTTGACAAAATTTATGGGCTCTGTTTGCTCTGCTGAGGCTGCTATAATTCCCTTAATCTCTGTTCTATGGCTCAAAGGTATTCTGGATTTTGAGGTTTTCTTTAAGGCGGCCTTTCTTTTCTCTAGTGTCCCCTTCTGGCTACTCATCTAACTGCTTGGATCTAGTTTTCAATGAGTGTTTGCTGGACATTTTCTATTGGCGATTGTCTTTTCCAGGTTCTCAATTGTCNATCAAAGGTATTCTGGATTTTGGAGGTTTTCTTTAAGGCGGCCTTTCTTTTCTCTGGTGCCCCTTTTGGCTACTCATCTAACTGCTTGGATCTAGTTTTCAATGAGTGTTTGCTGGACATTTTCTATTGGCGATTGTCTTTTCCAGGTTCTCAATTGTCTGTTCATGGAGATTTTTTGGTGTCTCCATCTGGTTGTTCATCTTGCCTCTTGGCTTTCTCTCTTAATACTCTGAAGCAACCAAAGACTACTGATGCTTCCGACTGTTGGGGTTCTTGCTNCTGTTCATCTTGCCTATTGGCTTTCTCTCTTAAGACTCTGAAGCAACCGAAGACTACTGATGCTTATGACTGTTGGGGTTCTTGCTCTTCAGATCTATGGGCTGTATATTCTACATTGGTCTTTGCCGCTGCTTCATCTTAATCAGTGCATTTGGCCTCTCATTCTTCACTCACTGGCCATATCTTCTAACTGGTCAGAAGGGCTTTGTAACTATGGCTCTCTCTTGCTGGATATTCATCTTCTACATCGTCAAAATGGGGAAGAAATTTGCTCTGCAACAGTTCTGGTATAAGGCCTCCAAGGCAGAGACTCTCTATCTCTATGCACTTTGTCTATACAGGCGTTATCAGAGATCAGAGAAGCAGAACAGCATNCTGCACTTTGTCCATACAGGCGTTATCAGAGATCAGAGAAGCAGAACAGCATCTCAATATCGTCTCTTCATCTGCCAAACCAGATAGCTTATCATCTGACCTTTAGCTGTCCAAGGAAGTCGATTTATTTTCCTTATCTGATAGCTTCCCTCTCTGACGACTTAGTAACCCCACAGCTCAACCACTGTTCCAGCTCGTCACCCAGCTTAAAACAGCTGCTGCTCGTGGCTCATTCGGGATCCTCTCAGCTGCCTCTCTCAGCTCAACATGGCTGCTGCTCATGGCTTGCATTGGTTCCTCAGCTGTCTCTCTCAGCTCATATCTTTCTTGAGGAAGCTGTTACTATCACCTCATTTAAATCATCTCGGCTGGAGCTAATACTTATTAATAGCATGCATAGTATTTATTTTATCTCATTATCTTATTGTATCACGCATGCATTTAGCTTGGTTTATTTTAATTCTTATTCTTTTAATGTAATTAGATTGCATCGAGAGGTAAAGTACATACGTCCCCCCTANCAGCTAATACTTATTAATAGTATGCATAGTATTTATTTTATCTCATTATCTTATTGTATCACGCATGCATTTAGCTTGGTTTATTTTAATTCTTATTCTTTTAATGTAATTAGATTGCATCGAGAGGTAAGGTGCATACGTCCCCCCCTAGTTAGGTGTAATTTAATTTTTAATCAATAAAATTCCCCTCGCACCGTCGAGGTTCACAAAAAAACAAAAATGAACAAGGAGAGAGGAGGAGGGAAAGAGAAGGACAAGAAACATAATGAAGGAGAGGCATAAGGAGGAAGAGGAGGAAACAACCCAAATAATAAGAAATAATAGAAGAAAAAGTTGGAGAAAGAAGGAAGAGAGAGGAGAAGGGAAAGAAAATGAGGAAATAGAAGAGCAGGAATAAGGGAGAAGGAACATGTGAGGGGAAAGAGAATGAAAATGAGAAAAATTGAGAGGAAAAAGAAGTGAGGAGAAAGAGAAGGATAAGAAGGAAGGACAGGGAGAAGGAGAAGCAGGGGAAGAATTGTCACTTTAAAAATTAAAATTTATGGTGGCTCTGAGGAGCATTAGTAAATTACAAGAAATAGAAACTAAAACTAAAACAAAATCGAAGAAGGAAAAAGGGAAAAAAGAGAAGGAAGAAGGAGTAGACAAGAGAAATCACTCGAAAGATTGAAATTTATGGTCAATTTAATTTTGCCCCCAGTATGATTAATTTTCCCACATTGTCCCCTCAAAGAATTAAAAACGTTGCAACGTGGTTTACCGTTTTATTTTCGTGGTGAGGCCATCTGTTTTGTACCAAATCAACTAATTAGGAATTACAAAACAGACAAATGACCAAATGAAAAAAAAAAAAAAAAAGAAATGAGAGGGTGGATCACATTGCAATATTTTAATTTTTTTAAGGGGGCAATGTGAAAAAATTAATCATTTGAGAAGCAAACTGAGAATTTTTGTATCTTTTAGGAGGCAAAATTGAAATTTTTCAAAAATTTATAGTGGTTTTGTGGAACAAAAAAACAAAATCGGAGAAGGAAAATGAAAAGAAGGACAAAGAACAGAAGGAAGGAGAGAAAGAAGATGAATATGGCAGAGAAGGATGAACGAGGAGGAGATGTAGAAGAAGACCCCTAACACTAAATCAATATCACAAAGTACTCTATTGCAATGGACATAAATTTGTGGAAAGGAAAAAGAAGGAGAATGTGAAGAATAGGAAGAAAAAAAAAAAAGAAGGTGAAGGAGAGGAACAATAAGAAAGAGTAGAATAAAAAAGAGGAAGGAGAGAGGAGGAGAAAGAAGAAAAGAGAGAACGATAGAAGAGAAAAAGAATGATGATGAGAAGGAGGAGGAGGGCAATGAGAAAGAAAATGAGGAAAATGGGGAGGAGAAAGAGAAGAATGAAGGAGGAGGATAAGGACAAAAAAAAGAAGTAAAAGGAATAGGAAGAAATGCAGAAAAAGGAGCATGAGAGAAGAAAGAGAAGGAAAAGGAGGAAAATTGGGAGGAAGGAGTGAGGGGAAAGAGTAAGGAGGAGGATAAAAATGAAGAAATAGTAAAAAAAGAAGAATAGCACTAAGTCAATATTTCCAAAATACTCTTTTACGATGGGTATACATTGGTGGGGAGAAAGAAAAAGGAGAATGATCGGAACAAGAAGAAAGTGGAGCAGAAGAAGAAAATGAAGGAGACGAATAATAAGAGAGTTTAAGAAAAAACAGAGTAGGAGGAGGAAGAAGGAGAAAGGACAGAGGAGGACGAGGAGAAAAATCAGAAGGAAGATGGAGGGAGAAGGAGAAGGAGAAAATGAGAGAGGAAGAAGGATGGAAGAGAAAGAGAATGGTGATAAGGAGGACAATGAGAAATAGGAAAGAGGGAAGGAGAAGAATGAAGGAGGAGGGGGAGAAGGAAAATGAGGATGAGAAGAAACAGAATGAAGGAGAGGGAGCAGGAAGAGAAGGAAACAACCCAAATAATAAGAAAGAGTAGAAGAAAAAGAAGGATAAGGAAGAGGAAGATGGAGGAGAAAGGAACGAAAATGAAGAAGAGAGAAGGGGAAAAAAAGGAAATTGGGAGGAAGAAAAAGTGAGGAGAAAAAAGAGGAGGAGAAGAAGAATAAAGAAGACAATGATAGGAAGAATGAGAGAGGAGAACGAGAAGGCTAAATAGGAAGATAAGGACAAGAAGGAGGAAGAGAATGGAAAAGGGTAGAAGGAGGAGAAAAATGAGAAGGAAAAAGAGAAGAATAGTCACTTGAAAGATTAAAATTTATGGCGACTTTGAGGAATATTGGTGAACTTCGAGAAACAGAAACTAAAACAGAATCGGAAAAGAAAAATGGGGAAAAGGAGTAGAAAGCAGGAAAGCGAGAAGGAAGAAGAGGAGGAAAAGTTGAGGAAGATGGAGAAGAAACAGACAAGAGAAGTAACTCGAAAGATCAAAATTTAAGGTCAATCCCATTTTGCCCCTGAAAAATACAAAAATGCTCAATTTGCCCCTAGAATGATTAATTTTTCTTCATTGCCCTTTCAAATAAATAAAAATGTTGCAATGCAGTCCACTGTCTTATTTTCGTATGGTCATTCATCTATTTTGTACTATATCAACCAATCAGGAATCACAAAACAGATGAACAACTAAATAGGAAAAAAAAATGAGACGATGGATCACATTGCAACTTTTTTATTTTTTTAAGGGAGCAATATGGAAAATTAATCATTCGAGGGGCAAAACTGAGAATTTTTGTATCTCTTAGGGGGCAAAATGGAAATTTTCCCAAAATTTATGACGGCTTTGATGAATATTAGGAAATTACGAGGAATAGAATCGGGGAAGGAGGAAAAGGAGAAAGAACAGAAGAATAAGGAAGACAAGAATAAACTAAGTCAATATTACAATGTACTCTTTTGCAATGAGCATACATTGGTGGAAATGAAGGAGAATGATAAGAATAGGAAGAAAGAAGAGTAGAAAAAGAGGAACAATAAGAAAGAGTAGAAGAAAAATGAGGAAGGAGAAGGGAAAGAAAAGGAGAATGAGGGAGGAGGAGAAGAGAGGGGAAGAAGGATAGAGGAGAAAGAGAATGATAATGACGATGATGATGAGGAGGGCAAGAACAAGAAACCGAATGAGAAGAAGTAAAAAGAGTAGGAGGAGATGAAGAAGATGGAGAAATAAGACAAAGGGGCAAGGGAGGAGAAAGAGAAGGAAAGGGAGGAAAATTGGAAAGAGTGAGGAGAATAGCACAAGTCAATATTACAAATTACTCTTTTACGATGGGCATACATTGGTGGAAAGGTAGAAAAAGGAAAATGATAGCAATAAAAAGAAAGTGGAGTAGAAGAAGAAGATGATGAAGTAGAGGAATAATAAGAAAGAGTTTAAGAAAAAGGAGTAGGAGGAGGAAGAAGAAGTAGAGAGGAGAAGAAAAATCAGGAAGAAGGAGAAAGATAATGATGATAAAGAGGAGCACAATGAGAAAGAGGAAAAGAGGGAGGAGAAGAAATAGACCATGGAGTGATTGATTTGGTCAATGAATATTCGATTCTTTCTTTAATGTAGAATCGATTCATAAGAATGAAAGAGATGGAGAAGGAGAAAATAACCCAAATAATAAGAAACAGTAGAAGAAAAAGAAGGATGAGGAAGAAATAAGAGGGAGGAGAAAGGAAAGAAAATGTAGAGGAAAATTGGGAGGAAGAAACAGGAGGAGGAAAATGAGAAGAAGAATAAGAGAGGAGAAAAAGAAGGATAAATAGGAAGAGAAGGATAAGAAAGAGTAAGAGAATGGAAAGGGGAAGAAAGAGAAGAAAAAGGAAAAGGAGAAGGAGAAGGAGAAGGAGAAGGAGAAGAAGCAGAAGAGTAGTTGCTCGAAAGATTAAAATTTATGGCAAATCTGAAGAACATAGGTGAATTGTGAGAAATAAAAACTAAAACAGAATCTGAGAAGTAAAAGGGGAAAAAGGAGTAAAAGGAAGGAGAGGACGAAGAAGTGGACAAGAGAAGTTACTTGAAAGATCAAATTTAGGGTCAATCCCATTATGCCCCCAGAATGATTAATTGTCCCATATTGTTCACTCAAATAAATAAATACGTTGCAATATGATCCACCATCTTATTTCCATTTAGTCGTCCATCTGTTTTATACCAAATCAACCAATCAAGAATTACAAAACAGACGTACGACCAAATGGAAAAAAAAAAAAAGGAAATGAGACGATGGATCACATTGTAATATTTTAATTTTTTT